CTGTGAGATCCTGATTGGCATCACACTCTCCCAGCCCAGCTTAGAGCTGTGTCATGCCTGTTTCCCAAGATCTCTCTCTGGAGTCGGTGGAAGTCTGGTGTTCTTTCAGGCAGCTCCCATCCTTCCCCTGTCCATAGTTTTTTGTTTTTGTTGTTGTTGTTGTTTGCAATACCATGCTATGCTACAGCCTTGTCCACCCACAGGAGTGTTAAGGATCTCATTCAGTGTGAAGCTGAGAATTATAGGCAGCAGAATAGTGATGAAGCTAACAGTAGGGATTTGTCTTTCTCACAAAATAACAAGTGCACAGGTAGGTGGATCCAATATTGAATTCAACTGCTCAATGATTTCAGGGTAATCTCCCAGCATCAACGAGAGGAAAAAAATCCTCTCTTCGCTCTTTTGCTTTATTTCAGGGAGGAAAATAGCGTCTCAGAAATCAACTATGAGACTCTTGCGTGAACCCTTGGGCAGGAAACGCCAAATTGCAATTGACATTCGGCAGTTTCATGTCAAACTGCTCCTGAAGGAGGTGCCTCAGCCCAGGAGGATGTTGTGAGGGGGAAGGGCAGTGGGGACATGTCCCATGGTGAGCTTCCTGTTTCTACTGGGATCACTAATGGTCCCGTACATTTCTCCTGTGTGGACTTGTGGAGGAAAGGTTACCCGAGATGCAGGGATGACTGTTTCACAACAGCTTCCTGGTGTCTTGAAATTCCCTGTCTCATAGGGTCTATATTATCCACATATATCTTGTTAGGTATATATCTTTTATTGATCTCAGAGATAGGAAGGGAAAGGGAGCAGAGAGAGTCGGGGGTTGGGGAGTGAAGGGGAGGTGAGGAGTGTGGCGAAGTGGATAGAGAAACATCAATGATGAGAGAGCATAATCGGTCACATAGCCCCTAGCGCACCTCCGGTACGGGCCCTGACTGAGAATGAAACGGGGATCCCTTGGTTCTGGGGTCGACGCTCCAGCACTGAGCCATGCCAGCCCGGCAGCCACATATCACTTTAAAATGAAACTTTTATTAATTCAAATTTAGTAAGACTTAAAATTCACGGAGACATTTAGGTGTCTCTTGTTGGATACCTGAGGAGTGTTGTTTTGGTGTATTGACCAGCTGGTTTGCTTTGAAAGCAAATATGAAATGAAAGAAAGGAA